AGCTCTCCCAGCTTGGAGCTCCTGGGACATCGGATCTGCTCTGCTTGAGCAAAAAGAGTCTGGCACTGCAGTCTGTGAGCTAGAAGTTGAGCCCTGTCTGCGGAACTGCACTCTGCTGCCTGTGTTTAAGGTCCTGTTAGTTTTAGCTTTTCTTATTTTCTTAGTCTGGTGCCTAGTTTTTTTGGGGATTTTCGGCGGGAGGTTTTTTTTTTTTATTATCACCCCTTTAATTAATTCCACCCCCGCGTCTATAAGCAATGGTCTGGGCCATCTGGGCCTGGTATCTCTGCACAACTAAAACTCAAGCAAATCGGGAAATTCTGGGCCGGGGAGGTTTTTTTTATTACCACCCGAAACATTGAATGGACACTTACATTAGCTTTATTGCTGATGTAGTGTTTGGGATAGGAACACCCGGGTTGTTGGGAGACTTCAGTAGGGCTCACAATGCGGCTGATTTATCATTGTTCATTGCTTTGTGCTTGACATTCATCTACAAGGTTTTGTTTCACTTTCCTCCAGGGCCGACTAGCTTTCCGACGTATGCTAAGATGAAGAACGCGCAGATGAGCCGATTTGCGCTTCAGCTCATCAAGCAGCGTGGCCACACTCTGCAACTGGGCCATGAGAAAGCAGGGAGTTGGGAATGAACCGTCCCAAACCAAGCCTATGAATTCTTTGGGAGACAGGGCTCGCAAGCGTTTTCTGGGGGCTGTGCAGCATAGCTGACTTGCTTTTGACAAGGCTTGCTTCTCTCTCTGACCCTTGCCAGAATTGCCGTTCTTGAGGCAGAGACAGCGGAGGAGGCGATCCCGCCGCTCGAGGTGCCCCAGTCCTTCTGGAGCCCCTAAAGATCCCTAGAGCCCTAGAGTCCTAGAGCCCCTGGAATTTTCCTCGCGTTTTGTCCGAAACAGCGGTGCAAGATGTTTCGAAGCCTCATGCAATGAGGTTGTGGTGCTGAAGCAAGGGAGGGCCTCGGGATGGTCTTGAACCGGCACGACTTAGCATGAACAGGAAACTGGGGGTCGAGAAGGAAATCGGAATCTATGAAGAACAGCAGTGTAAAGGATAGATAGAGTTTTCGTAATGTTTCGAACGCATGCTGTCGACTTGGCATGTCCTGAGGGGCTCTGGGATGCCGACGCCGTCAGCTGAATGGCGGCAGAGGCGACTCCACTGGAAAAAAATTGCTGCGCCTTGATGGTGTCGTCGTTGGGGATGTATGGGGCATCTTGCTGTGTGGGGCGGGCGGTCGTTATGTGTATTGCTGTATTGCTGCCAGGTTTCATGGGCTGGCCTTGGGATCCTTGGGGCTTGTGCAGTGGGGCTCTGGCAGGTGCTGGGCCACAGTGGCAATGTTTTCTGCCGAGATGTATCGCGAGGAAGCTGTTTCTTGCGTGAACGTGAGAGGTTGAGGCTTGTAGGTTTAGGGTTTTCTGAAGAGGGAGGTTTTGGGGACCCAGGCATGAGAGTCAATCCGACGCTTGGCCGGCACCTGCACCCTGTGGCCGCGACAGGCTCGAAGCCGAACCGTCCATGTACAGGTAAGTGCCCGTCCCGGCCATGCTAGCTCTTTTCCTGTCACTGCCTGCCGTCTCTCTGGCATCTCGAGAAGAGGAGGCAACGATGCAAATGCAGCTCAACACCAGTTGGTTTTGCAAGGCGCGGAGGGAAACTTGAAAGAAGCTAGGCCGCTGGAGTGGGTTCACTTCCCGAAGACCGGCAGCTCCTTCATCAACGCCATCACCCACCTGCCCGGCACCTGCCCATCTCTTGCCACTTACCTCAACCCGGACACGGTCAGCGGCGGCACCTGCTGGCTGTCCGACTGTTTGGAAAACGATTGCGTGCGTGTGTGCAATGGGAGCAGGTACTCATGCCCTCAGGGGGGCCGCCCACACCTCCCGGTGACCAACTACTCTGCCCAGAGGGGCCACATGGTGGGAATGTTCCGCGATCCCGATCAGCGTATCCTTTCGGGCTACCATGATGATGGGAACAACTTTGCTTCCTTCACAAAGGAGAACTTCGGGATTCTCAAAGAAGTATCAAATGCAAGGGAGATGTTCTGAGAGGAGTGCCGAAGAGACCGCTCCTCGAGTTCGCCGAGAGGTGGAAGGGCGGAATGACGTACCAGCTCGTTTCCACGGACCCAGCCACTCTAGTACTGGATCCGATGCGGCAAAAAGTGACGAGAGCGGACGGCTTGGAGGCCGCGCGAAGGGTACGGGACGGCTTCGCTTTCGTGGGGATCGCGGAAGACTGGGATTTGTCCATCTGCCTCTTTCACAAGATGTTCGGAGGAGCATGTCACGCCGAGGAGTTCGAAGACACAAGGCCCGGCTTTGCAGGGAAGAGCGCAGACCAAGATTACAACATCTCCCACTTTCAGGGCTGGCATGATGATATTGACGAAGTGGTGTATGCCGCCGCTTTGGACGTCTTTCGCCGAAACCTCATCATGTTCGACGTCTCGCAAGAGACCTGTCAGGAGTGTTACAGTGCAGCTACCGTCACACACGGAGAGACTTAGCCACTCGGACAAGCGCGCGACTCGGGGTGAAGCTCGAATAAACTCCAGGAAAAAGGTCAGGTACCGTAGATTGTGATCATTGTTGAACTCCGGTAATGACTGTGGGGCGAAGTGGGACAGGGTGCTGCTGCAAGACAAACATCCTGATGACTTACCAGGTATCTGTCGGAGCTGCCCTACACGACCTACACGATGGCGCATGTGCTCCAAGGATGGTAAACGTCTGCGAGCGCGAAAAGCATGCATCACTTTGCTACCAAGTTTGTGCAGTTGGGGTTTTGCAGTCGTGCGGAGTGGTGTTTCCCCTGTCGAAGCCTGCAACAGTTGGGTTTCTGCGCAGACGAGACTTGAGCCGAACCGGCATCTGGGCTGACAGGGGATTCGTGCAGTTAGGCATTGATGCAATGTGCTCATCTACACGCTCGCGAGCAGCACTTAGTTCAGGCCGGAGTGTCAGTCGCAGACAGGATCTTGTATCATCTTGCATCATCTTGCATCCATGGTTCTTTCTTACGATTTTCGTGCAGGCGCGACATGGGCTCCGGTGTCTCCTCCAAAGGGGCGACCACTGGACCATGCCAGGCCAGCACAGGCGTCATGAAAATTGGTATGGATCCGGTGCTTTCCAAGAAGTACATGACACTCGACCAGAACGGAAAGGTGCAAGCCGAGTATCTCGATTTGACATGGCACCACGTTCGTTCCCTTGCGTGAAGCCTCCCTGAACTGACCTCTCTCACCTTCCTCGTTCCTGTCTTTCTCTGTGTCACGAGCTAGCTCGACCCAAGGTACGTCTGGATCGACTCCGACTATTGGGATGGACAAAGCTTTGATTTGTGTTGCAAAACACTCACGCTGGCGGATTCTCCGGTGTCACTGGATGAAATTCCCATCTGGACATACTCAGGGGATGTGTCACGGCTGAACTGGTTGTGCGGCCGCGATTGTTGGTTGCTGTGTCGCACTGATCCCCTCACTCTACTGCTGCTACAATGTAGTGTCATCGTCTTTTGCTAGGGGAAGGCGGATGCCGATGAGCAGAGTATAGCAGAGTCCATTGCGGTTAAGAGTTAGCTTGCAGAACTGTGATTCAGAAAATCGGGCGTAGCACTTCTCACTCGGCCCAGGATGCAAAGGACATTGTGATCGTGCCACGGCGGATGTACCGGGATCCATTCCGGCCGGGTAACAACAACATCATCGTGTTGGCAGATACGTACCAGGAAGTCCATGGCACTTTCAGTGTCGCTCAGGGACCAGTCCTCCAAGCGTCACTGCGAGGAGCCCTCCGGTGATGAAAAAGACCATGGCCCGGCCACAAAATTCAACACGCGTGCTGCCTGTGAATCAGCGCTTCTGCCGCAAGCGTGATCTCCGAAAGCTTTTGTTCTGCTTGTGTGTTGATCGCATACCTCGCGCCTCGTGTTGACGTACCGCTAGTGCTTCTTGATCTGAGCCTTGCGTCTAAACCCTTCGACAGAGCGTTATGTGTTGAATTGAAGTCGGGCATCCACTCAGAATCTGCGCTTCCGCCTGCATTCTCGAGCTTTCTGGCCCTGGCCGTGTGCTTCCATCCAAGATCTTCGCAAGATCTTAGGGCTTACGAAGCATCGCACCCGACTATCTTACTTGTACAGGGCTTGAGACCAGGGACGACAACAGATTCAATGTGCAGGCATGGCAAGGCTGCACGGTAAGGGCGGAAGTGCAAACTATGAAAGCATCGGGTTGAGTCAGAGCTGCAGGTAGAATTGACAGAGCATGCATGCATCAGTTATGCATGAGATCACCGCTCAGGCTATGCGCCGAGCCGAAGAGATTGGGGAGGTACTTGCCGAGTTATTTATTGCTCTGTCTCTGCCAGGGCATCGCTGCGTGTCGTGCTCAGATTCGCTCAGTTTCTTGCGCTTCTTCAGGATCCCTGGTTCGGCTTTGAGCAGGAGTATTACCTGCTTGACACAACAACTAATTGGCCTCTGGGCTGGCCTCGTGGCAAATATCCCGACAAAGAGACTGCAGCTTGGCGGCAGGGAGGGAGCTTGTTGTGTGAATGATTGCACACACGCATTGCGGAAGAGGCCTTCTACTGCTCCGTGGGATCGCAGAAAGTCGTGGCGCGCAGCCTCATCGAGTCCCACTACCGAGCTTGCCTTTATGCTGGGGTCATGATCGGTGGCATCAATTCCGAGGCTGCGCGGGAGGGACGAAGCAGGGGTCTCAAAGGTCAAAAGAGTGTCAAAGGCTGCTCCGAACGCTAGAGGCAGAGCAGGGCAAAACGTAAAGCAAGGCGCAGGCCGTGCCTGATGCTGAATTCGGCGACCCTGCATGACCCTGCGTCGGCACAGCATGGATCACGAACGCGAGTCAGATGCCACGAAGAAGCAAGGCATGAGATTGAAAATGGCTGAACGGTGGGAGGAGGTCCAAACTTGATGGACTGCGACTGGCGGCTGTTTGATGGAGCTCCGCAGCAGGGAGGGAGTTTGCACTTTCTCGAGCTTAAAAGGTAGTGAAGTGATGTCTGAATCGTTCGATCACCACGTCGAGCCACTTCTTGCAAGCGGCTTACAGGAAAGGCCCGTGCTTCGCTTGCTCAAAACTTGAAAAGCGAAGCCTTGAATTAAACCAGCAGTTCTTACGACACAATCGGATCTTGTCGCGAATCCCGTGCTTCAGGGTACTTAAGGCTGCATAGCTTTGTCTATCAGCAGCGTCAACTTGCCAGCTCCGGCACGGAAGCTGCTGGCTGCAGGTATCCAATCAGCCACTGTGCGTGCGTGAGAGAGAAAACGCTGATGGGAACCGACTCCATGAACATCACAGCCGCATCCACGGATCAGATGTCCATTGTACACTTTATTTGGCCCAGGCGCCTTTTTCCATTTAGAACACACGCCGGCACTAGGTTGAATTCACCCCTCCCCTCCAAGCCCTTGGCCTTGCGATCACCCCTCCCGTTGGCCTCGCGATTGCATGAAGTGAAACACAATGCACTCAGTTCGTGCGTAGCCCGCTTCGCAGTGTAATGAAATGCAAGTGATCACAGAAAGTATCACAGAAGCGCTGGCTGCATCGGCAATCTGATGCCTTACCGGAATCCTGTTCCACGTGGCCGGATATACCTGGCACTAGGCCCGATGCGAAAATAGCTACAAGATCTGATGCGTGATTCCCCCAACAATTCTTGACGCACGAAAATCTTTCTGCAACAGCTTGTGGACGCCAAAATTTCATCGTTCCATGTGAGTCACTGGAGATGCAACTCGATTGAGAAATCAACACGGCAAGCCGTCCTTCTCATAACTTGTCCCTTGTTCCAGGTTGCACCTGCTCAGTGGGAGTTTCAGGTAGGCCCGGCATCTGGAACGCCGCTTGGATGCAAATGATGCTACAAAATTCAGTGTTGGAACCAACTTTCGACATGCTGATGTGTGCTGCTGCGCAGATGCAGTGGAACTCATGCAGTACTCAGGTTAGGTGCGGACGATTTGTGGATGGCGCGGTACATTTTGCAAAGACTCTGTGAGGACAGCGACACAGACCCTTTGGTGTCCAAAGGCAGCAAGCATCTGAGAGCTTGTGAGGAGTACCAGGTTGGGGTCACCTTCGACCCTAAGCCTGTCATCAAGCAAGCTGGGATTGGCTGCCACAGACTTAGGGTTCGCGAGCTCAAAAGAGTTCCACACGGCTAAGTTGACGAGCCTGAGGTCACACAAACTATTCCAACATGGCTACCCGGAGTAGCCCAGGAGCCTGGAGCTCTCCATTGTCCAACGCTTTCTGCGCTGTCCTGTGGGCGGCGCCCGAGTCGGATGCAACCTACTGCGCTGCGCAGCTGCTAATCGGATCTGGGCCTCTGCTTGCAGGAGGGATGGACGCCATCAAATTACAGTGTGAACGACTTCGAAAAAATCATGCGCTTTCCTCAGAGCCTCGAGTATTCTCGTTCGAGGTCTTTCTGCTTGCTCACTCTGCCACCTACTGACGCACAGCGCTTCGACAGGACAAGCACATTGCAAATTATGGCATCGGAAACGAGCGGCGTCTCACGGGCAAAGACGACACCGCCTCGATCCACGACTTCTCATGGGGCGGGGGGCCAACCCGCGAGAGCAAGCCGAGAGCCACTTGGGACCGAGTGGATGCAAGTCCTCTGCTGACGTGCAGGCATTGGTGACCGAGCAGCCAGTATACGCATCGGCTGCAAAGTAGCCGCTGCCTCAGTCACAAGCCTTCCAGCCAAGGCAGCCCTATTCAATGATCCTGTGGGGGTCAGTGCAGTTGCCATGCGAAGTACACGTCATTCCATTTCTCGCGAGAGTCTGCGACAGTGTGTGTTTTTGTCATCCTTGTCTGTCTATCTATCTGTGTGTCTGTCTTTTCCTCTCCCTCTTTCGCTCTCCTCTTTCTATCTATCTCTCTATCTCTCTCTCTCTCTCTCTTGTGTTGGCTTGGATCCTGGTCAGTCTCAGGCGATGCGCGACTGCGGGTATTATGAGGCGCCGAGACGTCATTGGAAGCACTTTCTCAGAAGGCGGCTTGAAGCGCGCGTCAGGACAGGCGGCCGGCTGCGAACATGGATCCCTACTTGGTCTCGCAGCTCCTGGCCCGGATCCTAGAGTCCTAGACCATCCTAGACCTTGCCCATCCTTGCCCGGCCTCTTGCCCGGCTTGCGCAGCCGGTGCCTGGCAGATCCGCCAGTCACGAAAGCCTTTCTTCAGGAGCTTGCCACGGGGCTAGTGCAGAGTCGCACGTGACGTATCGTTTCCCAACGTATACATGCATTCAGCGACCTTGTGCCAAGGTTGAGACAACTCTCCTTGAAAAAGAGGAGCCTGATGTTGAGAGCCATCCGATCGAGTAGCAATGCAATGCACTTGTTGGTGCTTAGCTGGCTGCCATGCCGACACAAGACGTAGAGGCAAGACGCGTCCATTCCGATGTGTTCGAGCGAACCGCGCTTCTTGAACCGTCTATATGTAGCCTGGTTTGTCGCGAA